TCCAATGCCACTACATCTTTCCTTAAATAAGGGGACCAAAACTGTGCATAATACTCCAGGGGTGGTCTTTCACAGATGCAGTTTGTTCTTTCACATCATTGATTTTAATTGTTCTATTATTAGTATCATTAGTGCCTTCACCTAAAGCTGCAACTATAGAATTTCCTTTTTTTTTTTAAGATGTTCCTTAAAACATTCCACTTGTCCCTCGTCGAGCACTCAGATCTTGTGTGGACCAACTGGCAGAGGTATTCACCAATATCTTCAACCTCTCCCTCCTACATGCCGAAGTCTCCGTCTGCTTCAAGAAGACCACCATCATCCTGATACCTAAGAAAGCACATGCAACGTGCCTCAATGACTACCGCCCAGTGGCTCTGATCTCAATAACCATGAAGTGCTTTGAGATGCTGGTCATGGCCCACATCAACTCCTGTCTTCCAACCTGCCTTGATCCTGTAATGTGCCTATCAATGTAACAGGTCCACAGCAGATGCCATATCCCTAGCCCTGTACTCATCCCTGGAACATTTGGACAACGAGGACACATACATCAGACTCCTGCTCATTGACTACAGCTCCGCTTTCAACACTATTATCCCCTCCAGACTGATCTCAGAACTCCGTGACCTTGGTCCCAGCTCCGCTCTCTGCAACTGGATCCTCACCTTTCTGACTCACAGACCACAATCAGTGAGGATTTCCAAAAACGAGTCAAGATACAGAAGGGAGATAGAGGGCTTGGTGATGTGGTGTAACGAGAACAATCTCTCTCTAAACATCGGCAAAACTAAAGAAATGATCATTGACTTCAGAATGAAAGGAAGAGAACATGCCAACATCTACATCCACCTCTCTCACTAACACCTGAAGGAGGAGTGATGCTTCAAAAGCTTGCGTTTTCAAATAAACCTGTTGGACTATAGTAACCTAGTATTATGATTTCTGACCCTAACCACCCCAGTCTAACACCAGCACCTCTACATGGGAGCTCAGAGCAGAATGGGACCTCCTCTCCCCCAACATGAGCCAAGTGGGTTATTGCGCATGCGCAGAGCTACCTGGCCGGCCCTCGGCCTAGGTGACGTCGCGCTCCCGGTTGCCGTCGCTTTCCAGCTGGTGCCGCCCGGTCCCGCAGGAAATGTCTGTTTGAAGCCGCGTCGTCGCTGCACGATCGAGTCTGAGGCGGAGAGATTTGAGGTTCCCAGCGGGAGCAGCAGAAAGCCGCCATGTCGAGCGGGACGGACGCGGAGAAGGCGAAGGTGAATACGTCAGTAACGGTCTCGGGAGGGGGGAGGTGAAAGGTCACGGGCCTGCGCACTGAGCGCCTCCAATGTTAAGTCAAGGTCGCAGCTCAATGTTAAAAGTGAAAATGAGCTGCCGAAGTGAGTAAGAGAGAGAAAAAAAATAATGCTGGAAATGTTCGGCAGTTCAAGTAATTTGCTGCTTGGATTTCAGCTTTCCAGCCGTTTCTGTTGGTCAAATGGTCTTCTTCGCTACAAAATGGCAGACAAATACATTTCTGGCTGTTTTGAAAATGGCACCCTCTGCTGATCCCTGCCTGGTCAACTCCCTTCTAAACATAAAATGAGCAAAGCTATAAACTTCACTCTGTTCAAATATATGCAAAAGTATTTGTCAGACCCTGTGACCATAAATCTCCTAACTGTGGTGACCACCTGTTCTAATAAAGAGTCACTGGACTCAATGTTGAATTCTGCTTTCTGTCTACATGCTGCCAGACCTGCTGACTTTCTTCAACAGTTCGGAGATAGTAGGAACTGCCGACTCGATTTCTCCAACAGTTGCTGTTTTGTTTCAGATTTCCAGTATCCGTAGTTCTTTGTTTTGTATTATTGTGGTGCCTCTCTTTTTGATTTCTAAGTTGGAATTCAAGTTTCATGATTGGCTAAAATAATTTAAAGCTGGACAGTATAATTTTTAAAAATATGACAGATGCTGGACACTTAAAATTCTAACAGAAAGTATGAGAGATACTCAGTAGGCCTGGCAGCATTTGTGGAGAGAGAAACAGTTAACATTTTGAGTCCAATGACTCTTCTTTGAAAGATAATTGAATGCTATCAAGCACAATCATCTTCAGGTTCTGTGCTAACTATGACCACGATAACTTTGAAAAAAAAGTGTAATTGGACTCAGTGTTAACTCTGTTTCTTTATGCACAGATGCTGCCACACCCATAGTTTTTTGTATTGGGTGAGCTGTGATGGGTTGAGGTGCTGACAGTTTCTGTATTATTAGTATTCAGGTTTGATCCCTGGTTGATACTATTCACTTACCTCAACTGTGGCATCCAGTAATTGTTCTTGGTGACATCAGTTATGAAGGGGTGAGTCAATCTAAACTAAACCTGCAGTTTTCAACAGTTAGAGCTCCAGATCTATGAGTGACCAGGACAGGACAAGTAGTGGCCTAGCTCTGAAGCACACCTCCCCACCCACTACACACAATCAAATAGTCAGTCCATGCATTGACAACTAACACGTTGGCTGTGGAATTGTATTCTACAGGTTCCAATACAGAAGTGAGGGGTCAAAGCATTGTTGTGTTCAGTGTTCATTACACAAAATACCTGGCAGATATATTGAATGGATATTTTGTAATGGTCTTCATTATAGAAGAATCAAGTAACATCCCCAAGACAGCTATAAGTCAGGAAGCGGGAGGGAGGAACTGAAGAAAATTACAATCACCAGGAAAGTGGTGCTGAGTCACTTGTTCGACCTGTGGGTTGGCAGTTCCAGGTCTTGATGAACATTGTCCTAGGGTTGTAAAAGAAATAGCAAGTATAATAGTTGGTGGTTTTAATTTTCCCAAGTTCCCTTGATTTAGGAAAGACTCCATTAGCCTGGAAAATAGTGAAATAACTCCTTTGTTCAAAAAGGGAGGTGGACAAACCAGAAAACTACATACCACATTGCTTAACACTTGTCATAAGGAAAGTGTTAAAAAATCTTGATAAATAGGTGTGGAAAGGTTCAAGGCAGAGTCAATGTGGTTTTGTGAAAGCAAAGTGAATTTTAACCAATATTTTTGGAGGATTTTTTTGAGAAAGTAACATGTGCTATAGATAAAGCAGAACTGGTGGATATATTGTACCTGGATTTCCAGAAGGTGTTTGATAAACTGTTACAGCAAAGGTAATTGCAGAAAATGAAAGCTTACAGTGTAGAAAGTTATATATTAGCATATACAGAGGATTGACTAACAGGAAATTGAGAGTAGAGTTTTTTTTTGTTGGCAAGATGAATTAAGTGCCACTGGTATTGATGCTGGGACATCAACTTATTACAATTTATATAAATAACTTGGATGAAGGGACAAAAGTTATGGTTACTTGATTTGTTAATGACACAAAAATAAGAAAAAGAAAAAGGTAAGAAAGTATGTTGTGAAGAGGACATGAGGCCTTAAAGAATTATAGATAAGTTAAATGAAGTCAAATATGGGAAAATGTAAAATTTTTCATTTTGACAGGAAGAATAAAAAGAAGCATATTATCTAAATGTTGCAGAATCCCAAAATGCAGAGGGATCTGGGTGTCCGAGTGCATTACTCACAAAAGTTTAGTATACAAGCTCAGCACATAATTGGGAAAACTAATAGAATGTTATCATTTATTGCAAGGGGAATTGAATACAAAGGTAGGGAAGCTTTGCTTCAGTTATACAAATGAAACTGCATCTGGACTATTGAGTAGTCTCCTTTTTTAAGGAAGGTTGTAATGCATTGGAAGTAGTTCAGAGAAGATTTACTTGATTAATACGTGGAATGGATGATGTGTTGACTTGTAATGAAAGGCTAATCTTGAATCCACTGGAGTTCAGAACAATAGGTGATTGATTGAAACATACAAGATCCTGAGGGGTTTTGACAAAGTCCATGTGGAAATAATGATTTCTCCTCGATCTAGAACTAGTAGTCACTTTCAAAATAAGGGGTCACCCATTTAATAAACAGAAGAGAAATTTTTTCTCACAAAGTTGAAAGTCTTTGGAATTTTCTTCCTGAAAAGCTGATGGAAGCAGAATTTTTGAAAACTTTTAGTGTGGGGTAGATTAGTAATAAGCAAGCAGATGAAAAGTTATCTGGGATGTGCAAGAATACGGAGTAATCAGATCAACCATGATCTTGTTATTAATGGAAGGGCAGGCTTGAGAGGCTGAATGGCTTATTCCTGCTCTTGTTTCGTATATGTGCAGTGTTCACAGCTTCAGTGAAACATTAAATCATTTTGTGTTGTGATGTTTCGGGATTCTATGGGATTACTTGAAAGAAGGACCAAGAATTCTCCTCATTGTGTCACCAACATCTCTCCATTGATTAGCTGAAAACAGGCTGACAGATTATTCTCTCATGGCTGTTTTAGACACATGTCCAATGGAAACACATCATCTCTGAGTAGTTCATGGGGCATGTCATATGATATCGTTGGGCTGTTAGTTTTTGAATTGTTTGCAGTAGGTTTCCAATTTGTATGGTAATTGAAAGAAATCAAATTCAATTTGTTCATCAAACTTTATTTTTGATTTTAGCCGTTCAAGCTTCTGGGAATCTTGGATGTGCAGAACACTCCATGTGCTCGAGAATCTGTTCTGTATGGATCAGCTGGCGCTGTTGTAGCTGGACTTGGCCACTTCCTAGCAACAAGTGAGCATCCAACTCTCTATTGGAGTGAATCTTTTTCAGATATGTATTCTGTAGCATTTGTTTTAAATGTCAGGTTTGCTGATGACTCTGCTAGATGCTTGAAGCATAAATATTGAGATTCATATGGTCAAAATGAGGAGTAATGCTGCTGGGAAAATGGGAGGCCTCCACTTTCCTACTTAAGAACAGAAGAAGTAGAAACAGCAACAGGCTATTTGTCCCTGTGAACCTGCTCTACAGTCCAATCAGATCATGCCTCATCACCTATCTGAGTCGCATCTTCCTGCAGGATCCCCGTAGAAGAAACAGAAGGTTCTGGAGAAGGTTCTGAGGAAAGGTCACCAGACCCAAAACGTTAACTCTGATTTTTTTCTTCACAGATGCTGCCAAACCCGCTGAGCTTTTCCAGCAACTTCTGTTTTTGTTCAAGAAATAGAAGCACATGTGGACCGTATGACTCGTTGAATCTGTTCATATATTAAAATGATGGGGTAATAGGTCTGATCAGGTTGATCTTGCAGAAGGCTAGCCTGGGCGCAATTGGTGGAACTCCATCTCCTATACTGCAACCATTTTATGATTCAATATGACTATGGCTGTGCCTGTATTTCAACTCCACTTTTCTATGTGTTCCCCTTACCCATTGATTTCCTGAGCCTAGATATCTGTCACAGCCATAAATCTTTTCAGTGATGGAGCATTTACACCCCTCTGGGGCATATAATCTATTCTTCCCTACCCATAGACATAGTCAGAAGTCATGCAACACCAGGTTACGGTTCAACAGGTTTATTTGGAATCTCACAAGCTTTCAGAGCGCAGTCCCTTCATCAGGCAAAGTGAGAGAGCAAGGCACACAGACACAAGAGTTTATAGGCAGGGAGATCAAAAGATCATACAACTGGTGTGAGTGGAGTGTCAGAAGATAAGTCTATGCAGGTGACAGATGGAGTGCAAAGTGTTTATAAAGTCAATGCTGTGCTGTCATGACAATCAGGCAGAGCCACAGGATTATACAAAAGGGGACATCTCAGGTCGGACACTGAATTGTAGATGTGAGGCTTTATTCAGAAACTGTCTCATGGTTTTAATCCGGAATCAGGCTGGTTTTATTCCGAATGCATAAGATGCCACATTGACTGACCATGACTACAAATTGTGTGTTTTTGAATAAAATAGAATGTATCTGCAAATAAACAAACATCTTGGATGAAATGATTCACCCCATAGATGTGCGTGTGCGTGCGTGTGTGTGATAGAGAGAGAGTCTGTATGAGTGTGTGTGACACTCAAACTCTCGCACACTCTCAAGCATACCCCCCCATCTTCTGTTGAAATTTTAGATTTCCAGATTTTTAGATTTGCCTTTGTTTCAACAATTCTAACTGGCAATCAAGAGATGAATTTTAGTAACTCTACTATTGTCCTGGCTGAGACTTAATGAGTGCCATATAGACATGGAACACATCACATAGAACATAGAACATAGAACGTTACAGCGCAGTACAGGCCCTTCGGCCCTCGATGTTGCGCCGACCTGTGAAACCAATCTGAAGCCCATCTAACCTAAACTATTCCATTATCATCCATATGTTTATCCAATGACCATTTAAATGCCCTTAAAGTGGGCGAGTCTACTATTTTTGCAGGCAGGGCATTCCACGCCCTTACTACTCTCTGAGTAAAGAACCTACCTCTGACATCTGTCCTATATCTATCACCCCTCAATTTAAAACTATGTCCCCTCGTGCTAGCCATCACCATCCGAGGAAAAAGGTTCCCACTGTCCACCCTATCTAATCCTCTGATCATCTTGTATGTCTCTATCAAATCTTAACCTTCTTCTCTCTAACGAAAACAGCCTCAAGACCCTCAGCCTTTCCTCATAAGACCTTCCCTCCATACCAGGCAACATCCTGGTAAATCTCCTCTGCACCCTTTCCAATGCTTCCACATCCTTCCTATAATGCGGTGACCAGAACTGTACGCAATACTCCAAGTGCGGCCACACCATATTCTGTACATAATATTGCCCAGTACAGGAATAGTGCAGAGCAAGCTAGGACTGGAGTAACACCAGCAAAGAAACAATTACCCACGCATGGTTCTTCAATGCTGAACTTTATGAAGCATAAGCACAGGAGTTGATCAGTTGGCCCAATGGCCTTTTGCTCTGGCACATTTACGCCCTGCCCTTACAAAAGCAGCCTTCTAGAAAAGCCACCATTGCCATTCTGCAGAACCCCCCCCCTCAAAAAAAATTATTTTGCAATATTGATGAAGACTTACAAATTTGTTTCAAAGTTCATGATAATTTTCTCTTCCTGCAGGCAGAGTAAAGCGGTCTTTTGACTTTGGTGTGGGGGGCTTTCTGCTTACAACTTTGGGAACTTGGTAAGTAGGTTGCCAGATGATCTTGAGAATATATTTTTGTTCCATCATTGCAAGGTTTAAAGTTAAGTTCAGGGGCATGGTAGCACATTGTTATATTACTGGACTAGTAATGTAGATGCCTGATTTAGTGATCTGGAGATCAGATCCCACCATAGCGGTTGGGAAGTTAAAATTCAATAGATTAAAATTTGAAATAAAAAGTTGGTGTCAGCAATGGTGACAATTAAATTGCTGTTTTGTATAAAAACTCAATTGATTCATTAATACTCTCTTAATAAGGAAACCTGACTTCAAACCACAAGGCCAAGCTTGCTATAGATATTGTAATTACTGCAGTACAGTTGGCCTTCAAGCCTGCAGTGGCAATATTTCAGTGCACCTGAAAGTGTATGTTTGCTGCAAGTAATTTGGGCCAGCAAAACACTTCAATTACACATGTATCTCTTTCAGGATGCTCTGCAGGTATCAGAATGCAAAAATACGAATCCAGCAGCGAATGGTGCAAGAAGGTATGAAAAACAAGGTGACATTCGAAGGAACTGAAATGGATCCTACCAGAAAATCAGATCGAAGCAACAAAAGCAGCCATGGAAGTACTTCATAAACCATTGGTCCTTACAGCAGTATGGTTTGGAGCCAGAAAGATTCAATTATTATGAAGTTCAACGATTCTACTTTCCTACCTTGTGTATAGTTCCAATCCAGTTTGTTTAAGGAAACTTGAGTATTTTTTCAGAATTGGGATATCTAATGTATAAATAATATGTCCCAACATAAAGGGAACCACCAAGATAACATTCATTTCTAAACTTTAATAATGAGAAGTATTTATTAGTACCTTGATCAGGTAAAGAACAACCTGTAGATGTCATAGTCTGATTTTGAGTGTTTTATGTATGCTGACAATTTGGGTGTGCAATCTTTTTGGAAATTTGTTGAAAGCTTAAACAGGTTGAGATGTTTAAAACTGTCTTCGAGGCTTGCACAGATTTGGGATCTTTTCATTTTGATTTCTTGGTAGGAATTATGGCACTGAATGTTAGCTGGTGAATCTGTTTAGAAAAACCAGAGGAGGCATTTCAGCTCCTTAAGCCTGTTTCACCATTCATTGAGATCATGGCTGATCTGCGTCTTAATTCTATCTGTATGCTTGAACTCTTTTTTTTAAATACCTTTGTCTAGTAAATAGCTGTTGATCTCACATTTTAAAATAATTAATTGAAGAAGCATCTACTGCTTTTGTAGTGGGGCATTCCACACTTCTTCCAGCCTTTTGTGTGAAGTGTTTCCTATATTCTCTCCTGAATTACCTGGATCTGATTTTAGCTTAATGTCACTTTCTCCTAGACACAGAGAAAAGGTTCACTTTATCTGGGTTTCTTCAATTTTCTGCCCGAAGGCAGTTCCAACCCAAGGTGCTATGATCTCTGCTGCAGATAAGGAGGCAGGTCATGAATCCGCCACAGCCAGAATGTGGATTGAATGCTATGCTTTTGGCACCAATCTGATCCACACTGTCCTTGAGCTAACTAAGCTAAAAGAGAATCTGACCTCTCCTCTTGGCATTCAGTTGCATTACCGTTGCAAAATGCCCCACTACATCATCTCTATGGTTACTATTGACCAGAAACTTAACTGGACCAACCTTGTACGTACTGTGATAAAAGAGGTGCTCAGAGGTTAGAATTCTGCAGCAAACAATTTCCCTTTTTTCTCCTTGATGAGTGCAGTCAAAGCTCAATACTACTCAGGACAAAAACCGCAACATTCACTACCTTCACCACGATGCAGAGTGACAACACTGTACCATTTACAAGATGCACAGCAGTAACTCACCCAGTTTCCTTTGACGGTAGCTTCTAAACCTAGGACTACTACTGTCTAAGGACAAAGGCAGTAGATGCATGGGAATGTTTCCACTTGTAAGTTCTCCTACAAGCTGCACATTTTGATTTGGAACTATACTGCTATCCCTTCTGTGTTGTGGGAGTCAAAATCCTGGAACTGCCTTCCAAAGAGCACTCTGGGTGTACCAACCCTCCACACGGATTTCATTCGGTCAAAAAGGCAGCTCACCACCATCTTCAGCCATTAGACTGAGCAATAAATGCGAGACAACAAGGTGCAGGGCTGGATGAACACAGCAGGCCAAGCAGCATCAGAGGAGCAGGAAAGTTGACGTTTTGAGTCAAGATTTCTGAAGAAGGGTCCTGACCCGAAACGTCAACTTTCCTGCTCCTCTAGTCCCATACTGTGTTATCTCTGACTCCCTTCAGGACCCTTCTTCAGAAATCTTGACTCAAAATGTCAACTTTCCTGCTCCTATGATGCTGCTTGGCCTGCTGTGTTCATCCAGCCCTGCACCTTGTTGTCTCGGATTCTCCAGCATCTGCAGTTCCTACTATCTCTGATTCAATAAATGCTAGTCTAGCTAGGAACACACATTTCCTATGAATAACTTTTTTAAAAAAAATCAAATCACCCTTTGAGTTTCTATAGATAACACAGTGTGGAGCTGGAGGAACACAGCAGGTCAGGCAGCATCAGAGAGCAGAAAAGTTGATGTTTTGAGTCAAGATTTCTGAAGAAGGGTCCTGACCCGAAACGTCAACTTTCCTGCTCCTCTAGTCCCATACTGTGTTATCTCTGACTCCAGCATCTGCAGTTCTTACTATCTCTGATCAAGTTTCTTTATTCCAGGTTATATGACCTTAGTTTATCAAATGGCAACAACCAGATTTGGTCAATGTGGCAACTGCAAGGACTTTGTAAGGATTTGGAAGGTTGTTTTGATATCTTCTCCTGGGAGATTCTTCAGTATTTCTGCTCCTGTTTCTGTTTAAACTTTCACTGTTGTCTCAGTGTACTGGTGCCATTTTGAAACTCTTGTTTAAACTGTTATCTGTGTTAATTTACATTGTTCTTGGGGCCAACGAAAATGGGGGAACGTTCAGCCCTAGCAGATGAGAGTAAACCTCGAAATGTGTTTGGAATTCTCTCTCCACAGTCTGTGCAGACAAATAATTACAAGCGAGGATCCTTCAGCATCAACACCTGCTCAGCAAACCTTGAGAGAAGTGGATCAACTCTCCTGATGTTACAATCTCCTAAAAGAAGCGCAGCTTGCTTTTGAAATCTCACATTTCAAAATCTCTGGGGTAATAGAAACGATGCTGGCAAAACTTCACAGGTCTGACAGCATCTGTGGGGAGAGAAATAGAAGTAGAGTTTGAGTTTCAAAGGAGAGTCACGTTGGAGTCAACATGAACTCTCCATTGATTCCAATATTACTCTTCTTGGAGACTCAAAGGCCGAAGAAGAGTTGCATTGGACTCAAAAGTGTTAACTCAGTTTTTCTCTCTCCACAGTTGCTGACACAGTTGCCTATTAAGCTTTTCTGGTGCTTTCTGTTTTTATTTCAAATCTCTACCAGTATTTTTCTTTTATCTCAGGGTAGTTTTCCTACCTTCCCAGGATTACACCATTGAGCTGATTAATGACATCCCAAAAGGGTCAATAAGGAAGGATGAATTAGCATTTTTCCCCAAGCAGTCAGAAAACCGTAGCAAGTATTCAGGAATTTCAAACTTGCTCAGTGAATACAATTCATGCCCTTTATTTTGCAGCCTGACATCTCTGTCTACCAAAACATCATTACACCGGACAGAAACTTGGCCTAATTGACAGTGTTGCAGTTGTGCCTTAGATACAAGTACACTGTTTTATTTATGTGACACTTTTCAGGATGTTCCAAAGTGTTTTACAGCCAATGAAGTGTTTTTCAAGTGTTGCCACTGTTGTGGGGAAACTGTATAAATACCTGCCGTATATCCACAATTTTGCATTTGAGCTTTCCATGAAACATATTGATAAATAATGCTCCAGCAGAACTAGTTTTTATATTATTCCTCTGGGCTTAATCATCAACTTATTCTCACATCCCTTAATGGCAGGAATTCCATCTATGGTTACGTACACTTTCACACTGGCTCTTACTCCTACAGCATGGTTACAAACTGAGCAAAGTTTCCAAAAGCTAATTTCCTTCTATTGTTTTTTATAAAATCATTATAATTTGAATAGGTCTAATGCTTTGTCATTGTGCAAATGGACAGCTAAGCAATGTCGAATAAAAACCGAAAGAACTGTGGATGCTGTAAATCAGGAACAAAAACAAAGTTGCTGGAAAAGCTCAGCAGGTCTGGCAGCATATGTGAAGGAAAAAACAGAGTTAACATTTCAGGTCCGGTGACCCTTCTCAGAACGCTAAGCAATGTCACTCGATCCACTGTGGTAACATAGCAATAATTTAGATGTGCCACTAGTGTTCAAATCTGTTTTCATTTAACTTAGTAAATTTAGACACTTGAGTTCAGTTTTGATGATGCTATGTATGCCGAAATAGACAGTGCTGCTATGGGATCCCTTCTAGGTGCAGCTCTCATTAACATTCTTCCATGAGAAGTGTGTCTTTGATGGAGTGACCGCTAATCTTCTACCCTTCCAAATTTCTGATATATAGATAACACATTTCTGGTATTTGAATCTGCAAGTGCACCACAGAATTGCCTTATACACCTATTCTGGCATTCATCTTTGAAATAGGGCAGTCAAACCAGGTCTTTTTCTTTTATGCCTTAGCTGAGGAAATTGGCTAAGGGGTTTCAACTACTTTCTACTGCAAGCATAGGGTAATGCTGATCAACATATGTGTTGGGATTCCTACTGTTCTATGCATGATAAGATCAGCCATTCTGGCAACATCTTGAAGAGGGACCTTAACAATTGGAGTGTGATATAAATTTGTCGCTGAGATTGGGCGTATCAAAACTAGCCTGCATGACAATAGCTACTTTATCAAACCATCATTCACTGATAACTTGCAAATTCGAGAAAGGATTAAAGTTATGTCCTTTCAGTCCTGAAAAGTGCCCAGTCTACTGCAGGATACCCTGGAAGGCAAAGATGCCACATATATTTAACCACAGGTGAAACTATGTATAATGCTGATACTTCGCAGTAAAACAAGATTGGTAGGATGCAGCCATTGTAGCAGTAAAAAAATTGTTTTGACCAACACAAAAATGAGTGATATATGAATTTCAGTGCCAGTGTGACTCCAGGTACAGAGGCTGCATGACTGACACCATATCAAACAACAAATACATCCCTTTGTCTGTCCACGGCGGCAGCATGCCAAATGTACTTAGGTAGCCTGTGGCTGCAAAACTGAAGATATAATATACAACATAAAACGTGATTCTGCTACTGGGTGACATTTACTTGTTCCTAACTAAATCCAGTGCCAGCAATTGCACTGGCGAATGAGTCAAGGTTGTCAGTTGGGCTTGTAGTGTGATTCATTTTCACATGCTAGAAGCTACATTTATTCACACAGAGAGCCCTATTTACAGATAAAAGGAATCTGTCCATTTGTTATCACCTTTTTCCTGAGTAAAGGATTATGAAGTCAACTAATCCCTGATGTATATCCATGACGATGCCCTACCAAGTAAGAGTCAACCCACCTGGTTCTTTCTAAGACAGCAACACTCAATGCCTTTAGAGAGAGTTGGGCATCTCGATGGCTGCATTGCATTATCTCCCCATCTAACTCTATTACAGTTTAGTCTCCACCCTCTCTTCCTACTGTTGCCAATTTTGTAATTGCTGCACTGTTCCTCGTGGGTTGTGCTTGTCAATTGTTATTTTAATTGGTGAAACAGTTGTTTGGTGGAGGTTTATTTTAAAAGAAGACAGTCAGTAGTCCTCAATCCATTCAGAGAGAGGTGGACAGGGTGGGGGCTGGCTGAATTTATTTTATTATTTCCCCATGGGATGTTTATGTCGTTGGCAGGCCAGCATTAATCACCCATCCCTAGTTGCCCTTGACAAAATAGTAGTGAGCTCCCTTCCTTGAACTGCTGCAGTCCACTTGCTGTAGGTTGACCCATGATGCCCTTAGGGAGGGAATTCCAGGATTTTGACCCAGCAACAGTGAAGTGATGGCAATATATTTTTCAGTCAGGATGGTGAATGGTTTGGAGGGGAACTTGCAGGTGGTGGTGTCCTAATTATCTATGGCCCTTGACCTTCTAGATGGAAGGTGCCGTCTAAGGATCTATGGTGAATTTCATCAGTGCCACCGCCAGTACTTCCTCCAAGTGTTGTTCAACATGGAGGAGTACTGATTCATCACCGGAGGGGAGGACGGTACATGGTAATCGGCAGGAGGTTTCCTTGCCCATGTTTAATCTGAAGCC